TGTATGGGCAAAAAACTCGAGGACTGTATTTGTGACTAATTGTATAACAGGTTATTTTAGTTTCTGTTCTGTGGAAAGTGTAAAGCATTCCAACAAAGGGTTTTAATGTAGATTTTTTTCTTTTTCTTTTTCTTTTCTTTTTTTTTTGCACCCATGCTGTTGATTGCTAAATGTAATAGTCTGATCGTGACGCTGAATAAATGTCTTTTTTTTTAATGTGCTGTGTAAAGTTAGTCCACTCTGAAGCCATCCTGGTAAATTTCCCCAACAGTGTGAAGTTAGAATTCCTTCAGGGTGATGCCAGCTTCTATTTGGAATTTATATACAACCTGCTTGGGTGGAGAAGCCACTGTCTTCAGAAACCTTGGTGTAGTTGAACTAATAGTTACTGTTGTGACCTGAAGTTCACGATTAAAAGGGATTACCCAAGCAAAATCATGGAATTACTGGTTATAAAGACGATTGTTGGCACATCCTATGCAATATATCTAAATTGAATAATGGTACCAGATAAAATTATAGATGGGAATGAAGCTTGTGTATCATCCATTATCATGTGTAATCAATAAACGATTTAATTCTCTTGAAAAAAAAAAAAAAGAGGTCCTAGGATGACAGCTATGTGTCAGATGCAGAGGACAGTCAATCAGATTGGAGCAATGTGACAGAAAATGCAGACATCATAGGAGCCATCTCCAAGATACTCTTTGCCATTGGACCATCTTTTTGAGGCCTGGTGAGTCTGACCTAGATTTTGTCTGTGCTTGGCATATCCTGACTATGTACCATTTGAGTTTCTGCCCTCCTCACTGTGACAGGCAGAATTCTAAAATTGCCTCTATAATCGCTACCCCCCCTAGTTAATGATTAGGTTTATGTCACCTTGCATGACAAAAAAATTTGCAGATGTAATTAAGGTGACTAATCAGTTGACTTTAAGACAGAGGATTATCCTGGTAGACCTGACTTAATCACATGAGACCTTTACAAGCATTTAAAAGCATTTTCTCTGGCTGGCGGAAGAAGAGAAAGCCACAGAGATTCTAAGCACAAGGGAAACTCAACATAAGGGAGACTCATCATAAGGGAGAGTCTCCATTGCTGAGTGGAGGATCCCACCTGAGAGAAGCCTCTAGGAGCTGGTAGCAGTCCCCGCTGACAGCCAGAAAGAAAATGAAGGCCAGGAGCAGTGGCTCACACCTGTAATCCCAGCACTTTGGGAAGCCAAGGCAAGAAGATCACTTGAGGTCAGAAGTTCGAGACCAGCCTGGCCAACATGGTGAAACCCCATCTCTACTGAAAATACTAAAGCTAGCCAGGCATGATGGTGAATGCCTACAATCCCAGCTACTTGGGAGACTGAGCCAGGAGAATCGCTTGAATCCAGGAGGCAGAGGTTACAGTGAACCTAGACTGTGCTATTGCACTACAGCCTGGGCAACAGACAGAGACTCCATCTCAAAAGAAGAGGAAGAGGAAAAAGAAGAAGAACAAGAACAATAAGAGGAGGAGGAGGAGGAGGAGAGGGGAGGAGAAGGAGGAGAAGAGAGTGAAAGAGAAAAAAAGAAAAGGAGGAGGAGGAAAGAAGAGTTAAGAAGGAGAAGGAGGTGAAAAAAAAAAGAAAGTGGAGCCTTCAGTGCTACATCTGCAAGGAAATGAACTCTGCTAACAACCTAAGCTACCTTGGAAATGAATCAGAGGAGGGGGCAGCCAACCAATGTCTTGATATCAGTCTAATGAGACCTTGAGCAGAGGAACCAGCTAAAATGTGCCAGACTCCTGACCTGTAGAAACTGTAAGACATGTCAGTCACTGTGGTTCACGTCTGTAATCCCAGCACTTTGGGAGACTGAGGCAGGTGAATACCTGAGGTCAGGGTTTCGAGACCAGCCTGGCCAACATAGTGAAACCCCCATCTCTACTAAAAATACAAAAAATTAGTTGGGCATGGTAGCAGGCACCTGTAGTCCCAGGTACTCAGGAGGCCGAGGAGAATCACTTGAACCCAGGAAGTGGAGGTTGTAGTGAGCCGAGATCACATAATTGCAGTCCAGCCTGGGCAACAAGAGCAAAACTCCATC